CAAATACGGGTAGACAGGCCGTACCACCCCGACATACCACTAGAGAGAGCCAACACACCACAAATGAAGTTTGAAATTTGTTTCAGTGGGACCAAAAGATGGAGCCAACACACCACAAATCAGAAAGATGTTCAGTGAGTTCAGAGATCAGGTGCACAGTAGTTTCATGTTCTCCAGTAAACGCGCCCCCTGCTGGGCATTAGAAAGAGTGCATGCTTAAGGCTGAAGCTACGCCCCACGTTCACCTCGGAGAGTCTGGGTCCTTCCTGCGTGACCACGCCGACTCTGGTCCACTTGTAGCGCTGCAGCAGCTTCACGGCGGCCTGGTTCAGCGCTCGGTCTGACGGCACCGTGCTGAACACGTTTCTGTACAACTTCCTGTTGGACAGGCCAGGAGCCGAGGGCGCAAAAGACACCTGGGAAAGCAGAAGTTACCTGTCACATACACGGCTGCATTACGTCACCACTGTGAGGCTGAGGTCAGCACCTGCACCAGGCCGAGCGCCGGAAGAGCGCGAGCGATGAGCGCCGTAACAGGTGGACACACCCCTCCAAACAGCAGCAGGTACTTCGGCCCCACCCACACTGCATCAAACAGGGCTTTGAGCGCTTCAGCAGGGTCGCACTGGAAGACAGGTGAGAATAGACGTGACACGGAGTTCATGCATGTTTCAGCTGCGAGAACATGGAGCAGCCTCAGAGGTTCAACGGAAACATCGTTCAGCTTTGCAGCACCACCTGTGCCAGGTGTAGGCCTCAAAAAATGGACCTGAAATATTTTTAGAAGTCGATTCTGTTCATGTGGACGTCTTCAGCGCGAGAAACTCTTCATCATCACAAGTTCTTCAGTCTCAGCTGACCGCAGGTTCTCCTGTGAGGTCAGTTCCTTTATCATTAATATGCACATTTTCATGACCATGGGTCAAAGGTCACGAGCAGCGCTCGCAGATAGTTGGGGAATGGCTCCAATAACATCACTGAAAACGTCCAGATGAACAGAATTCCTCACCTGGATGACGCATCAAGAAACTTTTTGGGTAACTTTTCCTTTTACGTTCAGATCTTTTTGTTGTTTGTTCATTACATGCATGTGGTCGCTTTAGAGTCCACATCTGAAAAACGTGCATGTTTGATAGAATAGAATAGAATAGAATAGAATAGAATAGCCTTTATTGTCATTGTACAAGTACAACGAAATTGGAGTGCCACTCCCTTGGTGCAAAATGCAAAATAAATATAAATGTATAATATAAAAAGTACAATAAAACAACTGTAGTACTACTAATAGTTTCAGAGATACGAGTAAAATCAGCTGCTACTCATCTATTTTTGATGCATTTATTTATTGCTTTGTTTTGCTTTGCAGTGTGAAATTCTGCAGTGAAAGAAAAAGAGAATAATAACAGACGTATTTGTTCCAACACGGGAAAAAAGATCAATTAGAAAATTGCCCATATTTAATAGCCTTTGCAGATATTCCTGTTTCCCAGGGGTCCCTGAATGCACCATGAACTATAAACTGTAAATAAACGAGGGCACAGCTTCTGATTGAAGCTAACGCTGAACTTCTTTTAACTTTAACTTTCTTTATATGACCAGCAGATGGCGACTCATCTAATTATATAGACGTTTATGAGCTCTGAGCTCAGTAACACGTTCCTGGTCTAAAACACGCTTTTTTAAAATTATTGTCCCATTAGAGTTTAAAAAGGACCAGAGAGCAGGAGCCTGATGAGCACGTGCTGTTGCTCAATCATCTCGTCTGGTTTCAAGAAGCTAAAGCAGTTTTCAGAACAGAGTTTTGCCCCCATAGAGGCGGCGAATCACCAGGTCTGAGACCCACCTGTGAGTCCAGCCGCTGGAGCTGGATCTCGTAGTTCCCCAGCGGTGGCGGTTGTTTCTTTAGGTCCTGCAGAGCCAGTCTTACAGCCGGAGCCACGTCTGCCGTCACATTCTCCCCGCCCGACCTGGAGCTGACCGGCATCAGCCACAGCACGGGCAGAGGGTGCTGACCCTGAGCCGGCTCCAGCCCCATCATCAGCCAGAAGACCAGGAGCAACCCCAACCCCTCCTGTACCCGTCCAAACCGACCCATTGCCCGCTCCGACCGCAGACGGCTGCAGGAAAACTCTGAGTAATCCTCTTGTGCTGTAAGCAGCTGAGAGCCTGAGGAGGCCGACCGAAGAGATAAAAGGATCAAGAGCAACACAAGATGCCACCAGGATCACCAGCAGACTGCTC